CAACTGATTTTTCTCCTCTAGGATAAACAGTTTTTTAACTTTTCCTGTGTACTTTACAACAAAGAATCATACAAGAGTGAAACATAAATCTGTCCGGGGGCCAAGAAAATAGGGGGACTGTTTTCACAGAATTGGCTATTGAGCCATGCCTGGACACCAGGAATGCTATTAGGAGGAAGCAGATATTCCCATGGGCTTAAAAAACAGAACAGTGAACCTACTCGTCATTCTCTACCAGTAAATTCCCAATAACGGCTACAGGGACGAAGTCACTGGACCATAGTGAAATAAAAAGACATGCACAGTCAAGTGAGCTGCATTTTCTCTTTCATTTCAATAGTTTTATTGAAAGATATATCCCCCAGTATCAAAGCAAATGTAGTTTGCTAGGTTACCTCTCCCGACTCAGAATTAACATTAATATATGTCTGAGTCACTTAGGAAAACTGAACATTATTGACAAAGCCTAAATTAAAAGCTCAATGAAAGGACAGCTTTGTTAATAAACAGGAAAAGTTATCTATCCCGAATCTCTAAGTAAAACACAAGTACCTTCACATCAATGGTGTGAGCATTCTAGTAATTGATCACCTGCGGAGATGTTTCCATAGCAACGAAAAGAGCTGAACTGACAGAGGAAGTGTAAATCCTTGTCAGATCAACCTAACAGTATTCCAAAGATATGTGAGTCTCCAAGAGAAAAGTAAAAACAGGGGGTGTTATCAGCCTGTAGCCAAGAAAAAACAGGAGAAAGGGACACCCTGACATCTTAGGCTGCCTTCCGCTTCTAAGTCCCCAGCTAGTTCTGTTATCAGCTAATAGCCTTCTCTATTTTTTTCCCTTTTTCTTTGTCCTCATAAAAACCACAAGCTATTTCTGCGTGGGGTGGCGCTTTCTTCCTTTCATGTCTTCTGCCCCCTCCCTCCTCTCTCTCTTTTCTTTCTTTCTCTCTCTTTCCCTCTTTCTCTTCTCTCTCCTCTCTCTCCCTCTCTCTCTCTTGCTCTCTCTCCCTTTTCTCTCTCCTCCCCCAGAGAAAGCAAAATAAACTTTTTAACTTCATTATACATATATTTTAAATTTTGTGTTGAGAAAGTTTTCTCCAC